AATAAATATTAGTTGTTCTATTAATTATTATTTATTTTTAACAATCCAATCAAATATAGTGACTTCAATTTATTACAAATGGACTTTTAACTGTTTAAAATATTTCATTAAATGCAAACTAAGTTAAAAGGTAGGAAACAAAAAAGGATAATTGAAAAAAGTTAAAAAGTATAATATAATCTAAATAATTGTGTTATATACGAAAGTTCTATAATTAGTGAAGAATTTTGCAAGCTATCAAAAAATTGAAGCTTTTTGAGAGAGAAAAAATGAGTATGAAGTAAATAATCAAAATATCTAGAAATCAAAGAATTGCACCTGCAGGCCTAACACGTGCTCTTCAATTTGAGGATTTTGAGAAGAAAACCAACGTAGATTGCAGAATATGTTGTGGATAGGACCAAAATGATGAAACCTGCAAAAGAAAATTAAAATTAGTGACATGGTAAACTTATATGCCTTACTAAATTGAAATTTGTGTACACTCTCTCTTAAATACTTAATTCCTCGATTTCATTCGACCCGACATATTTTTGCAGCTTTGTTTTTGGTTTTTTTTTAACAGCTTTTGCCGCTTTGCTGTTGCAGTGGTATCTTTCTGCTTTAATTTTCTCTCAAAAATACAGGTCGAATCAAATATTATGTTAAATTTTACTTAAGTTTTTTTATTTTAAAAGTCAGAAGGTCAAATTAATATAATTATTATTAAGCAAAAAGAACTACATAAATGAATAAGAAGTTTCTCTATCAAAAATGATTTGCTATGTTAAAAATTTATTTAAATCCTGTCTTAAAAATTAAAAAATTAAATTATTGAATGGAAGGAGTAATTAAATGGTTAGTCTCTCTTCTACTCATAGAAGCAAATTCATTGTTTGATGGATATATTTTATGAGAATATTGTAAATAAGTCATGACTACCATACAAAATTAGAGCCTCAACTTAAAAAGCACAATACTTGTATTAAATATTTTCAAAAACTAACAGTTAAATTAAATGATTTAATCATATGCAGATTATACAATACCAATTTTCATATTGATTTTTTATATCTAACTAATTTATTGATTATATAAAATTAAACACTATTAAATATATATTA